ATAATTTAAGAATTTAATGATTGTTTTATACCACTAAGTTTCTGATATACACTGTCAATTTTCATTGTACCCATTCACATTCCCACCCACAGGGTTTTAAAGTAATTTCTTTCCTAATGTTAGATAGATTTGGATATTATCAGACTAAAATCTTTCCAAGTAGAAGGATGAAAAATTGCATCTAGTTCAGTTCATTTTCTTTTGCTACATAAAAGTACTTAATTTTTTTTGTAGTCAAGTCTTTGTGTTTTCTGTTTTGATAATGTTTTGCCTCATCACAAGATTATTTTTTTATTGATTTTTTTTTTTAACAGAGAGAGAGGGAGAGGGATAGAGAGTTAGAGACATTGATGAGAGAGAAACATCGACCAGCCGCCTCCCGCACACTCCCCACTAGGGATGTGCCCGCAACCAAGGTATGTGCCCTTGACCGGAATCGAACCCGGGACCCTTCAGTCCGCAGGCCGACGCTCTATCCACTGAGCCAAACCGGTTTCGGCTAAATTAAACGCTTTTTTAAAAAAAAACAACAACAATACTCATCTCTTAACTTCCTGTCAATTCATCTTGCTGAAATTGTGATCTTTTTCCCCCCTAGTGACCCATAGAAATCCATCTTCAAAAAGGGACTGACGCGTTTCTCAATTACCCAGTTATGCCATCAGTCACGCAAAACTGACTCAGGATCTAAATTAAACGCTTTTAAAAAAAACAACAACAACAACAACACTCATCTCTTAACTTCCTGCCAATTCATCTTGCTGAAATTGTGATCTTTTCCCCCGCTAGGGACCCATAGAAATCCATCTTCAAAAAGAGACTGACGCGTTTCTCAATTACCCAGTTATGTCATCAGTCACATGATGAAGAGAGTTAAATCACATACCGATGTGAAATCATGTGTCTCTTTAGCAATTCATTGTACAGATGGTGAGATTATAGTGACCTTCCGGCCCTAGGCTTCAGTGTATCCGACTAGAGTTAAATGGAAGCTTATATTGCAGTTGAATTCCTAGAAATCCTGAAGAGGGTTTGTAAGGGGAAACGCTCGTCTCTAGATGGGAAATGAATTTGGAGACTGCTCCTATCAGACAAACCCATAAATAAGTAACTAAAACCAGTGAAGGTCCAGCATCTAGAGCTTATAAGGAGGAAAGAGGGATGCTAGCATTTCTTGATTCCAGAAAAAAAAATAACCATAATAGTCACTGGAAAGGGTTTAACAATAGCTCTAATTTGTAGTATTGCCCAATTTCTGTGGTGTAGATACTCCCATCATGGCCAATTTCATCCTATCAATGGTGACTCCCAAACATTGTTCTAAGCATTTGACATGCATTAACTTCTAAAACCTCACAACAATATCCTGGGAAGTCCTGTTATCATTCCCATCTTATAGATGGAAAAACTGAGGCACAGAGAAGTTAAGCTACTTGGTACAAGGTATGCCTTAGCGAGTGATAGAGCTGAGACATGAACTGGAGACCAGCTGGCTTCTATCTGTTTTCCAGTGCCCTAACCACTATGTGCTGATGCCTTTACATTTTTAATTATTCAGACTGACATTAATGTCCCCTCTTCAGAGGAGAGAAGCATACCTGTGACTTGAATTATAGTGACCTTGGAGAAAATTCTTGGAGAAAAAATAAAAATTACTATAAAAAGCTATTTGAAAGGTGTATCTTTTCTAGAAGGAGTATAGCATAGAAGGCAAGAGAAGAGTCTTCAGAGGTAGAAGGCTTGAGGTCAGATCCTGATTATCCCACTCACTAGCTGTGTGACTTTGGGCAAATGACTTAACCTCTCTGTGTCTGTTTCCTTCTCTGTAAAATGGAGATCATAATGATACTTGCGCACCGTGGTCAGGATTAGTTAATACATATAAGGAACTTAGATCAGTGCCTGGCACGTAAAAACACCCAAAATGGTAACTGTTATTACCACAATTTGTATTATCTCTTGGTGATTCTGCAGGTCATAGTGCATTTGAAGGTGCTCAGCCCTAGCGGGTTTAGCTCAGTGGATAGAGCGTCGGCCTGTGGACTGAAGGGTCCCAGGTTCCATTTCAGTCAAGGGCACATGCCTGGGTTTCAGGCTCGATCCCCGGTAGGGGGTGTGCAGGAGGCAGCCGATCAATGATTCTCTCTCATC